GAGAGGGAGAGGGAGGGAGGGGGAGGGGGAGGGGGAGGGGGGAAGTGGAGGCGAGGGAGAGAGCATGGCGAGAGCCTGCAGCCGCGCAATCTCGACTCGGGCCGCGGGGGCGGTCTTGTCGGCAAAAGAGGGGGAGAGGTTCTCGCTCCACGTGGCGCCCTCGTCGAAGGAGACGGACAGCTGGTACGCCGTCACCGGCAGCACCGGCCCGCCGGCGTGCGGCGGCACCCAGCGCACCTGCGAGATTGAGATTGAGATTGAGATTGAGATTGAGATTGCGCAGAGACGCGCGTCAGCTCGCGTCGCAGAGAGTGGCGAGGGCAGGAGGAAGGGCGGTGCGCGCGAGAGAGGGAGAGAGGGAGAGGGGGAGGGAGAGAGAGAGAGAGAGAGGGAGGGAGAGGGAGAGGGAGAGGGAGAGGGAGGGAGAGGGAGAGGGAGAGGGAGGGAGAGGGAGAGGGAGAGGGAGAGGGAGAGGGAGAGGGAGAGGGAGAGAGGGAGAGGGAGAGGGAGAGGGGCGAGTATGGCGGCGTGAGATGGTGACGAGGCGCTTGAGCCCACGAAGCGGGTGGAGCCAGGCAGGGGCACCTCGTGACGCCCGCGGTGTGTGTGTGTGTCTCGGAGCGGCGTGTGTGGCGGCGCTGGAGGACGAGGGGAGGTGTGGCGGCCCTCGACCGTCCGCTCGTCTCGGAAGTGTCTCGGAAGTGTCTCGGAAGTGTCTCGGAGGCGTCTCGGTAGCGTCTCGGTAGCGTCTCGGAAGTGTCTCGGAAGTGTCCGCACCTCGACGGTCTTCTCGTCGCCCGTGCTGATGGCAAGCAGCCCCGTCGGCGCGGCGGCGCGGTGGGTGTTGGCGAGGTGCTGCGAGACCCAGTTGTTTGCGGAGACGCAGCGGTGGCAGAGGTGGCAGTACCGCTTGCCCGGCTGCCCGCGCCCCCCTCCGCCCGTCGCCGCCGTGCTCTTTGCGGCAGAGTGCAGCACGGTGCCCTGCGGGAAGGAAGACGCGCGAGGGAGGGTGGGTTGGCGGGCATGCAAGGCAGGAGGGCATGAGAAGGCACGGGTGGCCCGCAGTGCCTCCGAGGCGCGACGGCTCAGGCAGAGGCTCGACCCGCCCTCTGGCAAGCGCGTGTTGCTAGCAGGAAGTGTCTCGGAAAGCTCCGCACACCTTGTCGCTAGTCGGGTCGACAAACCAGACGACGCGGCGCGACTTTGGGGGCGCGCGGAGGAAGTAGTCGACGCCGAGCTCCTCCATCGAGAAGGGCTCCGCCTCGCTGTTCGGACCCTCCGTCTGCACCGAAAAGAAGGAGGAGGACTGGTACGACGCGCCTGCGAGCCGCAGCCGCCACGCCTCCTTGTCGACTGTGTTGGGGTGGAGCGCGTCGGACGCGGCGAAGGCGTAGGCGTCGCCGCGGCCGCTGCCAAGCGCGCCGATCGCCCACCCCTCGCCGTCGAAGAAGATGTGCAGCTCCACTGCTGCCGCACCAGCGCCGCCGGCCGCGCCCGCTTCCTTGCTGTAGTGCGCGCGGCCGCCGTAGTCGCAGCGGCGCTGCCACTCGCCGTTGAGGAAGCCAAGAGGCGCGGGCGCGCCGAGGGAGCGGAGGACGCCGACCATCGTTGCGGATTCGTTGATTGAGAGAACGGAGATTGACCTCACAGTTCTCCTTGAGGGCGCTGGAGCGGCCAAGGTGAGAGGCTGTTGGCGCAAAATTTTTTCTTTTTTTTCGTTTGTAGTTGCCAAAACCACGTTGTGGCTGTTCTTCACCTTTCTACCTGCCTACCTACCACGTTGGCCGCAGGGCGGCTCTGGCGCGGATTTTCTTTTTTAATTTTTGGTCGCCTAACCTGATTGATGGTGGACCCTTCCCCGATGAACAGAGAAGCCCAAAGCTCGTATTCTTTTTCGTGGTGTACCTGTGTTGGTGTGCCAGTGCGCGCCAGTCCCGTGCCTAAAAAGAAAGAAATAAAATAGACAACCCAAGGGAGGGATGGGAGGACGGCACGCCGCCACCACACACGACCTGTGTCACCCGACAACAAGCGCTCTCTATAGAGGCGCCGACGGCAGTAAAAAATCGTTGTCGCAACGGCGGGCGGGCATGACGGGTTGACGGCCCACGCCGTGCACCGACGCGCGACGCCGACGGGTGCACCTCTAACAGCGCGCGTGGAAGGAGCAGTAATCCGTGACGCATTCACGTGTGCGAACCTGTGTAGCCCCATCGTCTCGCGCGCACCGTCAGGGCTCCGTCGCGGAGTCTGCCGGTGCTGCGAGCGAGCGCGTTGGGGCGCCACAAGCTCACACATGAGAACACGTCACGAGTCTACCCTTCCACGCACCCGTCGGCACCAGCCCGGCGCGCTCGCTTACCCGCCCGCTTCGCCCGCCCGCCGCGGCGCCGCTTCACCCTAGTGCGCTCCTCACCGAGCGAGACAGACTGGCTCACTAGTGGCAGGCCGGTCGCCGCGCGCGGGTCGATTACCAGTTGACGGCAGGTGCACTGCGCGGGCAGAAAGACACCAAACTCGAGCTCGAGCGTCGCGACAAAGAGATCGAGGCGGGCTCGATCCGCCTCGCTGATCGCAACGACCCAAGGCCCAATGTAGAGCAGCGAGGCTCCCGCATTATACCCGAGCGCGTGGCGATGGTATCGGCCACCTCGCAGCAAGAGCCCCGTGAAGAGATAGACACCGGCTCGCCGCCGGATGATCTCCCACGTCACGTTGGGCACGCGCGGAAGGGAGAGCGCGCCCAGTGCCGCACCAATGCTGCGACTGCGTCGCAGCATGGCCGCCACCATGCCGTAGTCAACCAGCCTCGGCCGGAGGAGCACGAGGGGGTCGGTGGCCGCCCCGAGCGCCGACAGAGACCTGCCGAGCAGCGCCGCCAGCATCCACAATACACAGTTCAAGTGTACGGGCGGGACATACAGCTCGTCCGTCGCCCACGCCACCGAGACGGGCCGTCCGGCGCCGTCCACCTCCAGGACATGCGGCTCTGCGGGCGAAAGACCGACAACGCCATCCTCGCGAAGGGAATCGAGCTGCTGTTGCGACATGATCTTGCCCGCGTTCAGCGTGACGAATCCGCCGCCGTTCACCAGCAAATCGTTTCTGCGCACGGCATCGTTCACCGCCCTCTCAAACTCCTTCTGGCCCTCTCGCCGCCGCTTTGCCAGCTGCCGCCGACGCGCCGCGAGTTCCTCCTCCGACCGCCTGTGCCGACACCGATGATACGACTCGATCCAGTCTCTCAGCTGCTCGAGCGAGAAGGAGCCTCCGCTCCGCCGAAACTCTTGGCGTAGCTCCTCGACCTCGTCCGTGAGGCGGACGTCGCCAGTCGCATCGAGCCACGTTTGAAGCGCCCTTGTTGCTTCCTCCAACGTCGAGAGTGAGTCGACCGTGGAGTGCCACGCGGCCAACGCCCTCTCTGATTGAAGCGGCCGACCGAGTGCAGTCGCGGGCGTGTACTTTGAGAAGAGCCACAGTCGCTTCTGTATCAGACCAAGGTTGGCCTCATCGTGCGAGAGCGGCGCGGCTCGCGGCGCAGCAGGTCGGGCAAGCATCGGGTCCTCCGCCTCGCCACTCTCCAGCAGCTGGAGCAGCCTCGCCTCGGCCGCCGAGCCGTCATGGTCCAGCCTCAGCCAAAGGTTGCGGTGCCGCTCGGGCATCGAGTAGAGGACGGCCTGGCACTGCTGCAGGCTTGGCTGCGCCCTCGCCGCTGCATGCCGTGAGCTTCGAGCCCTGCAGCACTCTGAGCAGCACCGCGCCGCCGCCCATCCCCGCCGACCGTCGATGGCAGCAGGAAGTCCCTGTAGAGGGGCGCTGCCGAACGCCTCCCTTGCAGGGAGATAGGCTCCCTGTCCACCGTTGTGTCGGGAGCACCAAAGAAACCCGTTGGCACTCTCCGCGAACCAGGCGGGGAACGCGCTGCCGCCGCGCATATACACACGCAAACGTGGACGGAACGAACGTGACCAAGGATCGATGAAAAAAGAATTTTCTGCCGGCTGTCTCACAGGACACTGGGGACGTGAAAAGAACAGCGTACTATAAATAAATAAATACAACGGACACGCCAAACGAGGGGTGGGAGAAGGACAGGGTCCCCACCTGCACAAGCAGGATCTTGTAGGACGATCAGGGACACAGGGGAACGGGAGCGGGGAGCGCATCGCGACACGGAGGGGGGCTGGGCAGGGGGTTCACCCTCACGACAGGAATCCCATCTCTCGTATAGGACAGGTTGCACCCGGCGGCACGGGGGCAAGCGCGGGCCTCCTACTGGTTGCGCTCTCCTAGTTCTCCTGCTCCTGACAAGGGACAGCGACAGGCTCGCAGCACGGTGGACTCCCTATCCACTGGCGATCTCTCTCGACTAGCGACCTTCCTCCGACGTCTCACCGGCAGTCTCTTCTACCACAGGCAGACTGACAGCGTACTTCCTGGTAATAGAAATCGGGCGCCGCTATTTTATTTTTGGCGTCTGCCAGTCGGGCAACAGGAGACAAAAGCTGCTCCGAGAGAGCGGCGCGCAGAGGAGGAGAGAGCCCCGCCGTAGCAGCGCTCATGCCGCAGAAAAACGCGCAACCCGCCGCCACTCCACCGCGCGCACCGCGCGCACGCCGACTTGCCGCGTGCTCTCACAGCACACGCTCGCGACGATCACCCGCCCGTTCGGCGTTCGCAGGTGAAATGACCACAACCGCGCCAGCCGAGACCGTTTCTGGGAAGGCCGACGAGACGCTTACCGTGCCCGAGGACGAGGACAAGTCGCAAGCGGGTGCGTGCAACCCCACGTATTTGCTCGGCCGACGTGATTTAGGCACACAGTGAGAGCACGTAGAGATTGCTCGGCCGCCAAGTGATATCCTCTCCCTCGTGGTCCTCGTACAGAGGAGACCCTGGACCGTCTGATGGAGCTGGCGAAGGCTCGGGGGCCCCTCGTCGACGTTGATGAGATCACTGAGCATCTTACGCTCCTCCACGTGGTTTTCGATGCACCACGCGACACGGGGCCGGCGGAGAGGCACACTCCTCGCCCACATGTCGTCGAGTCCGCTGCTATTGCTGAGTCATCAACGCGGGTCATCACTGTCCTTTCCGCACTGATGATTGCAGCCAATCCGTGGCACCAGGCCTTTCAGATCGAAGACGCGGCTCGATATCTTTGTCTGTCGACGGCGGCTTGTGCGGCTGTGGCTCTCGTCGAGACGCTGCAGGCGATGCCGATCGTGCTGAAGATCAACGATGTGAACCGTCGAGCTGATGCGCTGCAACTCGCCTCGGTTCAGGCGGCCGTGCGACTCTGCCTGTTTGCGGTCAGCGTCTTCGCGTTCGCCTCGATGGCAGACTGAGCACTCCATTCGAGGCAGCGCCTGACGCTGTGTGGCCCGAACCCGAGTCGAGCGAAGCAGGGGCGGCGAAAACGGCGGCACGACATCCGACGCTCGAGGTCGAGGCGCTGATGCGCGCCAAGGGGGAGGAGGCGGCGGAGCGGCAGAGGGCCAGGGCCGAGCGACAGCGGGACACCGAGGGCAAACGCCGCAACAGGGGGACAAGGAGCGCAGGAGGGGGCAGACAGGCGAGGGACCCCTCCAACGGTATGAGTGAGTGCGTCTCGTGTGTCGTGGGGTCCGTCCTGTATGGGTAGGGGGGAGGGGGAGAGATGGAGAGGAGAGCCTTTGAGCCCTTCGCTCCTTCGAGAACAACTCGCCCCCGCAAAAAGAATTTTACACCCCCGCGCTCCCTCGCACAACACTGGGCGTGCCGTCCTCCCATCCCTCCCTTGGGTTGTCTGTTTTCTTTCTTGCTTTTACTGGGCACGGGACGCAAAAAGAAGACCGGCTGCGAGATGCTTGGGATGTCCGTTTTCTATAGGAAGTGGTAGACGCCCGAGGGTGGGCGACGGCTAGCACCACACTTCTCCCCTAAAATCCCTGTGTGGTGGTGGCGTACTGTCCTCCCATCCCTCCCTTGTGTTGTCTGTTTTCTTTCTTTATTTCTTTCCTCGGTCTCTCTGTCAACACTGAACCAACAAGAAGACTCTCTCTGAGTGAGACGCTCTGGGGCAGGAGGGAAGGGGCAGGGCAGGGCGGGGCGTTGCAGGGCGGGGCGCACAGCCGTAGGTGAGCGCACACGCGCTGCGGTCCTGCCGGGCACAGCCGCAGACAAGCAACCACCCTTTTCTTGGTGACGGATGTCCGCCCGTTTAGGAGCGTGGTGGCGTGAGGACGCAAAGGCGCAGAGGGGTACTCGACCTCCCCAGCTTTGCCACAGACGTCATCGAAGCTGCCCTGCATGCCACAGGCGACTCTTTCCGCAAAACGTGGTTCTCCCTCAATGCCGTGAACAGGCGCTTTATCCATCAATCAACCCATACCGCGTTGGTGTCCCAGTCGTTGGTCGGACTGTGTGTCGCCTTCCCATCAATCAATCAATCAATCAATCCATCCTATTCTTCTCTCTCTCCTCTAGCCGTGCCTTCGGCCCGGGCGTATCTCCTTTCGCTGTAGGGAGGCTGGGGCTGTGGGGGAGTCCGAGGCGTGACCGTATACACGCGGCGAGTCGTCTCAGTACCTCAGTCCGCCTCTACACGTATACCGCGCGCGCTGTGGTGTCCCAGTTGTTGGTCTGACTGTGCTTCACTTTCGCTACATACATACCGCCTCTAGATTGGGGCGGGGTAGCCGACGTCAGTGGTAGGAGCCAACCCTCTGCCGCCTGCATTTACCTCCCATTCCTGGCTTCCATTGCCTTCGTCCCAACAGCATGTCAGCGCCCTCCAAAACGCTCACCATCACCATGTACCGCGAGCTGCTGCGAGGATCCGAGCGCGTGAGGGCCATCATGCGACCAGGCCACGTCGCGGTCGTCGGCGAGTGCGTACGGCGCTTCGCCGCCGAGTCGAGATCTCCGCACCTCGCTGCAGCAGCGTCTCTCCACGGCGCCGCGTGCCTGCCTGAGCTAACGCGGTCGAGCTTCCGAGGGCGGGCGGATCAGCCGGAGCGGGCTGCGGGCCGGTCGGCAGCCGGCTCCGCCATCGACGACGGCTTTGCGGCGCTGCGGCTCCTGTCGTCTCTCGAAGCGTGGATTGTGGAGAGTGAGCTCGCGGCCGCCCTCCCCTGACGCCGCACGAAGGCCCCTCCAACCTCCGCCTCGCATCGCCCCTCAGACAATGTGCTCTACGACCGCGTCCAGAGCGAAGGGGCGGCGTGGCTGGATTTCGGCGACAGTGCGGCGGCGGCGGCCCCGCCGGCGCCTTGGGAGACGTGCGAGGCGGAGGAGGCAGCGTACTTCCTCGACTACAGCGCGCTCTACCGTGGATCGTCACTCATGGCAGCAGGCGGCGGCGCTTGAGGCGCCCCGGGCAGCTGGCGCGGGCCAGTCGCGGGCCAGAGGCCTCTGCCGCGTGAGCGGCAGGGCCGCCTGAGCGGCAGGAGCCGAGGGTTAGGCAGCATTGCATGGGGAGGTAGGGTCGCGGTCGGCAGCGCGAGCGCGCTCTCTCCGCGGCGAGGGGGCGCGACTACTTTATTCGGCGGCAGGGAGCATAATCAGACGGTGCCGCGGCCCGCGGGGCGGGAAGGTGCTGCTGAGCTAGCTGCTGAGATCGGGTCGGGGAGTCGGGGTGGAGGTTGCTCTAGCTTTCAAACCTGTGAGCGAGTGACGGGTAATCGTGGCCGTGGCCAAGAAAATCAAAATATTAAGCTCTCTGTTTGGACCACGGCGAAAAACTCGACGGTTTTGGGCGTTTCAGAGCACGCTGAATCGATTGGCATGGCTGAGGCCTGAGCTCTAATTCTCGCCAGCCCTGCGCGCGAGACTCGAGACACGCTTACGAGTTACGTGACTGCGTGGCTTCACGTGACTGCATGAAGCTGTTTATGTGGGGGTCGAAATGTCAGTCGAACTTGGAGCTGGCTGACGTCGAGGCTGACGGCCCACCCTCCTGACCGACGACATCTGAGCCATTGCCGCCACTGCCGATGCATCTGTGCATGCACGCTTCATTGTCCCTCCAGCCTCGCTGTACAGGGTCTTCTCCTGGCCGACCGGCACGCTCGCGTGGTCAAGGTGCGCCTTGATATGCTGCCATCCCAGCGCATTCTTCAACTTACCCAACTTAGTGGGCGGCTTGGCGGGCTTCTGGCTGCTAGTCTGACTTCTCATTTCTTCTATGGTGGACCGCTGCGTCACGGACGGGGTCAGCTCATCCAACTCTTCGCCATCGTATTGGGCCGCTCTATGGGCTGCCCAATGATCCGGCCAATATCCCATCGTCAGCCGCTCCATCGTCTGGTCAAACTGCCTTGGCTCCGATATGATTATCATTGGGTGATGAATGACAGAGGAGATGCGGGTTTGGGAGGGTGTGGATTCACTAGTCGATAGAGATCGCCGAATGATCACGCGCGCGTGCAGGCGAACAGGGTAAGGGAGACACCTTTGCGACGCCGCGAATCCAGTCGATCTGCGCGCACGGCGGTAGAGCGAGGGTCGAGTCGATCGGCGTCCAGATGTCGTGCTGCAGGTACTGAAACGGCGCCTCCGGGTCGCAACGGCTCTTGTGGTGCGCGTCGCGTACCAGTGGCGTGACGTTCTGAAGTCGGCGTAGCTGGTGCTTGATTGACTTGTAGCTGCGGACACCAACGCGTATCTCGTTGATCTTTGCGCCGCTCTGGTACGTGTGAAGCAGAAGGCGGTCCTCCTCGATCGTCCACGGAGTGTAGTTTGAGCTCATCGACACGTTTTTTCGCGCGTGCAGCTTCACGAGAGCGTCCTCGACCCACGGTTGCAGGCTGATCTCGGTGCTGTTCAGCTGCGTCTCCGCCTCGTCGCGCTCGTCGCAGGATCCACAGATCAGTCGGAGGTCGTCGAGAGCGTCGAGTCTTTTGAGAACCTTTTTCCATCGCCACTTGATTGCATCTTTGCTTCGTTTGGTGGCGGATTCAAACGCCACTGCTCTGCCACCTTTGGCAACGAGATGCCGTCTCGAACGTGGCGCAGCAGCACGAAGGCATCCATCTCCGGACGCCACGGGACGGTGCTGTGCTTCGATCGGCCGGATGCGTGGACGGCCATGAGGCTGCGACGCAGAGCACCGGGAAGAGGTGAAATGTAGTCCTCTTGCACCACTGGGTCGGACGAGAAGGGACCGCCGTTCATGGCAGCGAGAGCGTAGAGGAGCAACCTGTGCATCGCCAGCACAGAGCCAGCACGTGCCTCGAATCGGTGAGGGGATCGTGGCGGCGATCGCTGGACGTGTCCCTTCGACGGCGAACTCCACCCCCTTGGGGCTTTTGGAAAAATGCTTCCCAGAAGACTTGAGTTGTCAAACGATTGTGAGGGCGGCCCAGATGCCTGCGGAGGAGGGAGGGCGGGCGCGCGGTGCCAGTGAGAGCAGAGGCGGGGTGTGTGTGGCGGCGTCCGGCGTGGGCATGCAGCGTGAGAGCTGAGTGTGTGGTGGTGGGCATGCGAAGCGCGAGGGAGGGGGTGGTTTTAGCAGAGCTAGGCGCGTACCGTATCCGGCGAAGGCCGCGCACGAGCAGACGAGGGCCAGGAGCAGGGCGACACGGCCATCGCAGCATCGGGCGACAAGGCCGCCGATCAGCCCGACGCCGGCGACGCAGATCTGGCCGATGCCGGACCGCCAGGCCTCGGCGTCGTCAAACACGTCGTCAGTTTGGTCAAAGATGACGTTGATCACACCGATGATGAGCACGACGGTGTTCCACGTGATGGCAAAGGAGGCGGCGGCCTACCAGCGGGTGTTTTCGGCGAGTCGGAGAATGAGCGGCGCTCGTCCGACGCTGCCCCCTCCGCCGCGGCCGCCGCCGTCGCAAAAGAGGTGTGTGTGTGTGGTAGCCCGCTGCTCACCGGGATGTTTGGCTTGGTGATGCACATGCGAGGCACGCAGCAGATTGCCCGCTTGCAGACGCCTTCCTTTTCCTTACCCATCTGACGAGTCGTGCTGTTCTCTTGAGTGCAATCTGTGCCTTTTCCGCACGGGCTTCTTTGACGCGCCGTCTTCTGGTAGAAAGAAAACAGGCGGGGTTCCACACTCCACAACGGACGCCCGCTCGAATTCTTTTACAGCTGTCGCCTCGGCTGTCCACTGCCACATCACCGTGTGTCTCGCGCTTTGCACCGCCTTCACTCCCGGTTGAACCGCCCCCGATATGGCGCGTTTACGTCTGCGCCACCTCCTCCTCCTCTCCGCCGCTCTGGCGTCCGCACGGAGCCACGGCTCCATCTTTGACGCCGTCGCCGCCGACAGCATGCAGAAGCTCAAGGCGGCCCTCGAGGCAGACCCGAGTGCGCTCGACGTCACCGGGCCGGGAGGACAGAGCCCGCTGATGCACGCCGTTCTCACTGGCAAGGCCAAGGCGGTCAAGTACCTGCTAAAGCGCGGCGCTGACGTCACCGTCCCGGAGAAGGCGACTCGCCGCCGCACGCTCCACAGAGAGCGGACGGAGACACACATTGATTGGCCACCGGCGCCTTTGTAGGACGGGTACACTCCGATGCATGGCGCTGGCTTCCAGGGCCGCGCAGAGATCGCGAGGCTGCTGATGGCGCACGGCGTCGACGCGTGGGCGAGCCTGACACTTATGTCTCTACCTCTCGTCACTACTCTCTCTCTCTCTCTCTCTCTCTCTCTCTCTCTCTCTCTCTCTCTCTCTCTCTCTCTCTCTCTCTCTCTCTCTCTCTCTCTCTCTCTCTCTCTCTCTCTCTCTCTCTCGCTCGCTCGCTCGCTCGCTCGCTCGCGCTCGCGCTCGCGCGCGCGCTCGCGCTCTCTCTCTCTCTCTCTTCTCTGTTCTCTGCTCTTATACACACGCCGTATCTCCTCTCAGGACGTGCACTCCGACGGGCACGCCCCGATGCAGCGCGCCTGCTGGGGCAGCTGCCGAGCTTGCGCGTGGAAGCCGCTCTGACCAGTGTGTCAGAGCTGTGCGGTGCGTGTGGATAGGCGGCGAGCCGCGGCACACCGAGACTGTGGCGGTGTTTATCGAGGCGGGCGCGTCGGCGGAGGCGCTCGAAAAGTGCGAGGCGGCGACGAGGAACGCGGCCACCAAGGCGGCGGTGGCGCGCGCGGTCGAGGCGTCGAAAAAGGCGGAGCTGTGACCTCTGAGATTGAAAAGAGTGGGGTGGAAAGGGAAAGTAGGAGAGGGAAAAGGGAGTGTCAGAGACCTGTCAGCGGGGCATCTCTTCAGGAAAAGTCTGCGTGTGGTGGTGGAGAGTTTTCGACCGTGGAGCTCGCAAACTTTTTTGATAAAGTACACCTTTCACGCCGGACACCGCCATACGGCTCTATGCTCACCGGGCACTGGCGTCACCGCCCAGAGCCCTCTCACACAACTTCATTCACCGCCCGCGCTCGCTGCATGCCATGACCCCCCCATATGTGCATCTGGTGGTTCATGCATCTGGCGTTGTTGTGGCGATTCACCGATTCAGTATTTCAGAGACTGCGCCAAATCCCATGACTCCTTACAGTGAAGTGTCAGCCACGACACGCTGTGTCCTGTGATCCTGTTAACTGGGGCTACGTAGAACGTAGTGCGTGCCGAGCGCGACCGTCTAGGCCTCAACCTCCCCCCCCCCCCACCCCCCCCCCCCACCCACCCACCCAAATGTCACACCAGCTGCGGCTCGTCCCACCGCCCCATCTCGTCCAGCTTGAGAAAGGCGTCGGGGTGGTCCGAGATGCCAGAGTGCTGAAAGTAGTTGCTCACCCACAAACGGACGCGCGGGAAGCCGCCAAGAAGTTCTGCTGTCTCCTCTGAGAAGGTGCGCTCCACGTAGACATCGTCATACGCAACCAGCGCCGCCACCGGACTCGTGCCCGACGCGAGGGCGGAGCGGTTATACACGTGCCCCCAGTCCTCCTTGGCGGCGAGCAAGTTGGCCGCGCCCTTCAGCGGCCTCAGCCACGCATAGTCGTCCGCCATCCACGAGAAGACCATCTCGCCAGTCAGGAGCACCGGCTCGGCGCCGGCCTCCAGCCTCGTCGTGTAGTCCCACGCCGGGCCGAGGGACGCCTGTACGCGCTCTGCCGCCCAGCGCGAGGAGACGCCCGGGCCGTCGCAGTAGATTGGCTCGTGCAGCAGGTAGTAGAGTGGGTTTGTCTCGAACCCCTGCTGCGCAGCCTCGACGGCCAGTAGCCAATTTTGCGACAGCGTGCGTACTGGCCCTGAGGCTGGCCGCGCCTGCTCGATCGGGACTACCACTAGCCGGTGGCCATATTTCATTTGACTTGCCGCAAGTCACTTTGTCGAGCAAGCACCAGTGACCGGCTCGGCTGGGGGACCTGACGGGTTGAGTGGGATCTGGGAACAGGGGGGCGACCGGGGTGTTTGCCAGGGGGGCGCGCTGCCAACGAATTAAGAAATACGAACTACCCTAAAATTCTTTTCCGCGAGGGCGGCACGAAGACACATATAAATGTCCACGAGCGACGCGGCCGCACGGGCTGCGCACGCGAGAGAGCTCGCGGCCAAGCTCGCCGCCGGCGAGCTCTCCAAGAGCGCGGCCAAGCGGCTCAAGCGCCTCGAGGAGCACGACCAGCGCAAGGAGCGGCGAAAGACCGAGAAGAAGCGGCGCAAGGACGCGCGGCAGGCGCAGCCGGCGGGCGAGGACGCGGCCGCCACGGCCGCCGCGAGCGCTGCCGTCGAGGCTGCCGCCGAGGCCAGCGCCGCGTCCGCCGTCTCGCGCACGCCTGAGCAGGCTGCGGCTGCGGCGTGGGCGTGGTGGAGGAGCATCGGCTCTCCGACCCGTGTGCTGGCGCCGATGGTGAACCAGAGCGAGCTGGCCTTCCGGCTGCTCGCACGGCGGCACGGTGCGCAGCTCTGCTACACACCGATGCTCCACGCCGCCAACTTTGCCTCGGACGAGGTTTACCGGCAAGACAACTTTGACCCTCACCCGTCCGACCGGCCACTGGTCGTGCAGTTCTGCGGAGACGTGCCTGCCACGCTGCTCGCCGCGGCCAGGCACGTCGAGGCGCGCTGCGACGCCGTCGAGATCAACTGCGGCTGCCCTCAGGGCATTGCGCGGCGCGGGCACTACGGCGCCTTCCTCCTCGACGAGCCGGACCTGATTGTCTCGATGGTCTCACTTCTCGCCTCGCAGCTGTCGGTCCCCGTGCTGGTCAAGATGAGGACCGTGCGGAGCCGCGAGGAGCCGGCGGCGGGCGAGGGCGTGGAGGGCGAGGGCGCAGCGGGGGAGACGGCAGCGGCGGGCGAGACGGCGGCGGCAGCGGCGGAGGCGGCCGAGGCTGCGGCGTACAAGCGGACCGTCGAGCTCGGGCTGGCGCTGCAGGCGGCGGGCTGTGCGCTGCTGACGCTGCACGGGAGGACCAAGGAGCAGCGGAGCATGCCTTGCGACTGGCGCGCGATCCGTGCACTCAAGCGCGCGCTGTCCATCCCCGTCGTCGCCAACGGCGGCGTCGAGGCGCCGGAGGACGTCGCGGCCTGTCTCAGCGCGACGGAGGCGGACGGAGTCATGTCGTCTGAGGCTGCCAGCGACAACCCTGCCATCTCCACACCTCCTCTGGCCGCCTGTTCACAGCTTCAGGTGTGAACAGGCCGCCCTCGAGAACCCGGCCATCTTCGAGGGGGTGGGTGCGAGTCGCGCGGGGCAGCTGGCGCTGGCGAGGGAGTACGTCGAGCTGGCGCGGCGGCACCCTCCGCGCTGCTCGTCGGTCGTCAAGGCACAATAAGAATCATTGTCATAATGATGAGGATGGTGATGAGGATGGTGGTGGAAATGATGATAACAACAATCACCTCCTCTCCGGTCGTCAAGGCGCACCTCTTCAAGCTGCTCTACATGGCGCTCCAAGCGCACCACGGCCTGCGCGTGCGTCTCGGCTCAGCGAGCTCCTTTGCCGCGGCGTGCGACGTGGCGGAGGAGGTGATCGCGCTCGAGGAGGCGGAGGCGGCCCGGAACCCAGCGCCGATGGCGGCGCGCTGCGACGGGCCGGGCGCGCCGTTCCTCACGTGGTACCGCCGACACCGCTCGGACGGGAAGCAGAGCGTGGCTGTGGCCGGCACGCTCGCGGCAGAGGCGTGAGGAGAGCGGGCCTCCCCTGCTCTCCAACCTCTTCCGGGAGCGCTTTGGTGCAGACTCCTCCACGAGGCGGCGTGCAGCCCCAAGAGAGATGGGTGTTCCGAGGCGTTGTGTGCGTTCTCGAGGGAGCCTTCCATGTACGGCTTTTTGAGTAGAGGGTAGAGCAGTCGGTTGCGGAGGTCGCCGCCCTCCTCGTGCCTCTTCCCAGCGTTCCCTCGCGGCGATCGATGCCGTCTGCTCCGACTTGTCAAACATAATCTCAAAATTACTTTACGGTAGTCGGTAGTCTAGACCGGACGCGGAACCATCCACATCATCACTGGCTCGCGGCAGTAAGGGCACTCTCGCATCAGCTCAGAGCATGGCCCGCAAGCACACAGGTGCCCGCACGGAACCGCAGCATGCGACTTGACTCTCGCGAAACACACGATACACGTGGTCTCTCCCCCCATCGTGGACTCGGGGGCAGCTATGGGCCATGGAGTTAGCGGAATCGACCACCAGCCCCCAAAGATCGCTTTTCTCTGACACCAAAACGCACCCCACTATCGCTACTAGTGCCGGGGCAGCTAAATACATGGTCATTATGTGTCGTGGTACACTACCAGCCTTGTGCAGGTGTCAAACGGGCCTCCGGAGGCACTCCAGACCGGTCCGGGACCCGTAAGAACTCCAACCAAAGAGGTATCCAACGCCTCCCGACACCCGATCAGGGCGGCCCAGGCCACCCTAGCACTGCCTGCCGCCTGTGAGCCAGGCCAGTTGGCCCCAGCCAGCCTCAATCGTGCCAGAGACTGCCCCGCGCCATGCAGCTATTGCAGACAGCAGGGCCGAAAGCGCGCTCAAAGTGCGATGCTCGCCTCGAACACGGCCTCGAGCGACCTCTCCGGGTGCTACACGACCGCCTCCGCGAGGATCGTTGCGGGGGGCATGCCAGCGCCGTGCTGCTCCGAGTTGACGGCGCCCCGCACTCGTCTGAAGGCGGAAGGTCGACGGCGGCTGCGATTAGCCGCCGGTGAGCGCAAACTGCGCCGCTCGCCACAAACGTGGCGCCGAGAGCCGCCGCCGGCTGCGCAGCGACCGCCGCCGCGCGGCTCGTGGCGATAGGCACGCCTGCGCCGCCCTCGCCTCACCTCGCCTCACCTCGCCTCATCTCGCCTCACCTCGCCTCATCTCGCCTCATCTCGCCTCACCTCGCCTCATCTCGCCTCATCTCGCCTCATCTCGCCCCATTTTTTCTTTTCTAGACCACTCCGAGACCGACCCAAGACCGACCCGAGACCCGAGATCGACCCGAGATCGACCCGAGATCGACCTGAGATTGACCCGAGATCGACCCGAGATCGACCCGAGATCGACCCGAGATCGACCCGAGATCGGCACGAGCGATCAACCCAACAATGCCCCAGAGCCCCCTCCGGGGGGACCCCCCCTCACCCCGAGTGTCCGTGTCCTTCGCGAGTCACCGATGGGGAGCGGGGGGGGGTGCGAGATGCACAGGGGAGGCTGGGGAGGGGGGGGTCCACTCTGAAGACTGCCGACCGCGGGGGGGTTTTGTCCCACAGGGTTTTACCCTCCGCGTGAGGATCGGCGCGGCGAGGGGGTAGGTTCGAATTCGCCGCGCAACATTTCACCCCCACAGGACCCCGCCCACCCCCCCTCATGGTCCCACCTAGCACTCCAATGAGCCTTCGCACCCCCTCCTTGCGTGGTGTCCCCCACTATGTGTCGCCGTTATCGGGGCACGCTATCCTGTGCAGTCAGGGCAAGTGGGGGCGGGGGGCAGTCCCTCTGGTCCGATACTGGTGTGGTTCTGTCTCTAGTCTCGGAGGGGGGCTTGAAGCTAAGAATATTTTATTTTTGAAGGGTACCAGCTGCCAGAGGGGTCGATTTCTCGACCTCCCGAATTCTCCGGGTAAGGGCGGTCCCCAACATTATTTAGGGTGCTAATCACGAATCCAAGGCCAAAAACACGCCGAGGCTGCTAAACGCGACATCAAAGCGGCCGAGCGGATGGCCGACGAGGTAACACACGCAGCTCGAGCTGATTTTGCAAGCGCGAATATAGTGATTGTTAAGAGATATACGTAGCGTTACAGTCGCACGGTCGTCCCACTGTGTGCGCCGCCCGCGCGGACCCCGGAGAGCTGCTGCGCGTGCACAGACACTCAGACAGCGTTGCGCGAGCATTGGAGTGGCCAGCCTCCGGCTTCTCAGCGTGTCGCGAGTGCTGTGTCTCTGCCTGCCTAGTAGCTGGGTGCGGCGGGGGAGTCTCTCGTGGTTTTTTGTTACACGATTTACGGACTTACGGATTTACGGATCCACCCCCCTCCCTCCCCGTCCCGCGGTCCGGCCGTGAGACGCGCATCTACGAATCAAGTTGGTGCCGGCCTGTCCGCAGCCTCCTTCTCGCGCCGCGCCGCCTCTGCCTGAGCGGCTTTGCGCGCCGCCGCGGCCGCCCGCTGCTCCTCTCGCTGCGCCTCCTCCGCTGCTCGCCTCTCCGCCTCCCTCGCCCGCAGCGTCTCGGACTGGCTATCAGGCCGCCGATGCCTTGTTCCGCAACGGGCGGGCATCGAGGTCCCCAGCACAAGAGCGCTCGGAGGGGTCTTCCCGCCATGCGCCAGAACCCCTAGACGTCACCGGCGCGCCGGCCAAATTCTTCGACCCGGTGACGCAGGCGCCGTACGCGACGCTCGAGGCGTTCCGCACGCTCCGCGGCCGCACGGGCGGGCGGCGGTCGGGGGCGGCGTGAGCTCGCGCACATAGTATTATCTCTCAAACTTCGGACACAGCACATCAGGTCAGGACGGGGGGGGAGGGGGGGAGGTCCGCGGCTACGCGGCGCTCTGCGCCGACTGCTGCCTCTGGAGAAGCTCCAACAGCTGCGCCTGCTGGTCGACCATCTGCGACAGCTTCGCCTCGAGCTCGTCGACGCGTCGCGAGGCGGCGAGCATCCCTTGCCGATCCTCGTCGCGCGCGGCGGGGCTCTTGGCGAAGAGGGACGCGACGAGCAGGAGGGCGGCGGCGGCGGAGGCGGCGGCGCCGAGCACAAGGACGACCTCATTCCACAGCGTGAAGGTGTCGCCGAAGACGGAGGCAAGGCCGACGACGCCGACGATCTCGAGCACCGACGTGACGAGGAGCGCGCCAAAGGCGACGCGCGAGCCTCCTCCTCCGCCGGAGGCGCCGGCGGAGAGGTGTAGCCCAGCGCAGCAGAGGCAGCAGCAGCAGAAGTCGACAACTTGCCGCATCAACGGCGGCCGCGCGCCGCGGCTGCGACACATGACGCGGCTGTGGCACACGACACCGCCGACGGCCCCGGTGGTGACCGTTCCGACGAGCGCGCCGGCGAGCACAACGCACGAGTAAGCGAGCGCCGTGCCCGTCTTGCCGTACCGCCTATTCGCCGTGACGGCGACCGACGCGACCGCCCACAGCAGCGTCGCGCCGCTGATCCCGAAGCCGTAGCGCGCGACGCGCGCCTCGCGCGTCGCGAACTCGCCCGACGCCGCGACGCTCGGCCACTGCGACGCGACGAGCGGGCCGACCCACGTGATCGTCAACGACTGGAGGAAGAGCCCCGCCCACCACAGCGGGAGGAGCGGCGCGCATTCGAACGTCGGGTACACGAGCTCGCTGGTGGCGCAGCCGAACGCGGCGACGGCGACCGACGCGCCGAGCGCCGCGAGCAGCAGCAGGATCGACAGGCAGCCGAAGGCGACGACGCACCACGAGCCTTGCGCGGCGGCGGTGGCGGCGGTGCCGCTGCCCGCCTCCGGCGCGGGCGCGGCGCCGCAGCCACCGCGGCGCACGGTGAGGGCGCAGAAAAAGGCGATGGCGGCGGCGAGCAGCGTGAGGCTCGGCGCCACGAAAACAGCGAGCAAGGCGCGATCGCCCATCAGGTAGGCCCGCGCCGGCCCCGGGTGCAGCCAGGACGGATCGAGCCGGTAGTGCCCGCCGTCGCCGCGCTCCGCCTGGCAGTACCGTTGGCTCACACGCGTGGGCGACTCGCCCCACCACCCAAAGTCACCTGGCTGGAAGGTGTAGCAGTTGACGTACGGCGCCTTTGGGCTGACCCACGCGTCGGGCGCCGTCCCAAGCTCGCCCGCCGGCACTTGCTCGGCGCAGTACGACTCGCCGTTGGGGCCGGGGGTCTCGTGGGTCCAGCACACCGGGTACGACGCACACGCGCCCGACGTCGGGCAGCCCTCGGTCGACGTGCACGTGATGCCGTCCGACGGCGGCGAGCCCATCGGGCAGCCAGACGGCGGGCACGTGTGCTTCGCGAATCTCGTCGATGCCAGGTCGTCGGTGCGCCCTTCGACGCAGATAGCCCAGCCGTCGCCGCTGCCGCTGCTGTCCACCTTCCACTGGAGAATGGCACCGGCGCCCGAGTACCTCGACTCCCAGCCCGGGCAGAGCCACTGGTCGTTGTCGACGCACGCGACCTCATCCGGCATGCGTTGTTGCCGGCACTGCGCGTACTCATTGTTGGGACGCTTGTAGCAGCCGAAGCCGGGGTCGGCGCAGCACTTCGACTCGAGGCAGGCGTCATATTTCTGCGAGCACTCATCACTGGCCCTGGGAGAGCCCGGGCAGAGCCAGGTGTCGTTGTCGACGCACGCGTGGTCGACCGGCCGGCACTGCGCGAACTTGTGGCCGGTACGCTTGTAGCAGTCGTAGCTGGGGTCACCGCAGCACTGCGACTCGTAGCAGTTGCTGTATGCCTCCGTGCACTCAGTGTCGTCCTCGTCAACCTTGAGCTTGTAGTCGCCCTCGTCAACCCCGTAGACGGCGATGTGGAGCGTGCATGGCTCGTCTTCAGGCCAAGGCCAGGCCAGGTCCGGGCAGAAATCCGGGTTCGAGCGCGCGAGGGTGAACTGCTTGTAGCCGAGGCTATCCTCCTCGAGGGCTTCGCGATCGATCGCCCACGTAAGTGTGCCTTCACGAGGGTGTTCGGCTGCCCATCGACGGGGTTTTCTCTGGGTGAAGGAGACGAACAGATCGCAGTCGCCGTCGACCGGTTGCAACACGACCTTGATCCCCTTCACCTCGGGCGCCACGACCAGCGTGTACTGGTTGAGATGGCCGTCCTTCACGTGGCCGTGCACCATCACGCCGAGCTCGAGCGACGGCGGCGGCGGGCAATAGGAACAGCCGCCGCACTGCGACGCCTCGCCGCATTGTTCTGGATGCGAAGGGCACCCGGCCTCGCAAACCAAGCCGAATTCGTCTTGAAGTTTGCGAGGACTGTGAACTTCGGCCACGGGCGCGGCCGCCGCCACCGGCTCGCCGCCCTCGTTCTCGGCGAGCTTGCGGTTGGGCGGCCGCGCGCACGACAAGCTCGCCGTCTTGATGTACGAGAGCTGAGGGAAGTCCGCTTCGAGGTAGGCGTTCCCCTCGTTCCGGATGCGCTCCTGGTTCGGGCGCTCGCCGTACCCCGCGTAGAGCTTCTCTGCAACGTCGAGGCCGGACGTGATCTCGCCGATCGGCGAGAAGCCCTGCGCGTCGAGGAAGGCGTTGTCCTTGTAGTTGATGAACATCTGGGTCGTCCGCGTGTTCGGCCCCGCGGTGGCGAAGACGAGGGTGCCCTTCTTGTTCGACGCGCGCACCGGATCGTCCTGCAGCTTGGCGTCCCGCCACTCGGCGTTCTCGGCAATACCGTTGAGCCCAAACTGCACGATGAAGTTGGGCACCACGCGGAAGAAGTACGCGCCGTCGTAGAAGCCGATGTCGATGAGCTCCGTGAAGCGGTCGACGCCAATCGGCGCCCAGTCCGGACGCAGAGTGACCATAATTGGGCCCTCCGACGTGTCTAGCGTCACCTCGGCGCAGGGCGGCGGCGGCGACGGCGACGCCGTCGGCGGCGGCGACGCGCCGTTGTCGCCCTCGTCGCACGCGTCGTGGACCGGGCCGACGTCGCAGTACTCCCACTTGACGTTGAACGAGTTGACCATGCACCACGGCCCCGGGGAGCCGTCGATGGGCATGGGGTTGCGGCAGTAGTTGTGGCCGCCGAGGCCGGCGTCGGGGTAGGCTGACGGCACGTACGTGAGCTCGTTCGGCCACATCGACGACCAGTACTGGCAGTCCTTGCCGTTCACCGTCGTGTTCGCCATCCCGCGGTAGTCGGCGCCCGTCGGGTGGACGTAGCACCCGGTGTTGCCGTGGTAGCAGTCGTTGCCGTCCCAGCCGCAGTCGAGCGCGTTGCACTCGTAGTCGCACTTGCCGTCGGAGAGCCACTCCGGCTTGCACAGCGACTGGCAGTCCTCCTGGCTGTGCGGCTTCGGCAGCTCAACATCGGCGCCGCACGCCGCGCTCGGCTCGGGCACGCTGCACAGCTCCCAGCGCGTGTCGGGGTCGAGGGTGTAGCACCACGGCCCCGCCTGACCGTCGGGGTTGCGACAAGAGTTGTGCCCGCCCAGCCCCGAGTACGGGTAGTTGATCGTCGTCTTCGTGTGGTTCCACGGGATCTGCTCCGACCACTTCTGGCATTCCCGCCCCGTCTTGGTCTTCGCCACCTTCCCCCGGTAGTCGTTGCCGTCGGCCGCCGTGTAGCACTCGTCGGCGTCGTGGAAGCAATCGGCCCCGTCGTACTCGCACGCCTCCACGTTGCACGCCGCGTCGCACACGCCGTTGTCGAGCCAATCCTCCGGGCAGCCGCGCGCGCACCAGCCGTGGTACGAGTAGCTTTCATAGCTGTCCTCGTCCGGCGCCGCTGCCGCCGGCGCCGCCACCGGCACCGGCGCCGGCACCGCCACCGGCGCCGCCGCCGCCGGCAACGCCATCGGCACCGCCATCGGCACCGGCGCCGCCGCGTCGTACGAGTAGTAGTCATAGCTGCCCTCGTCCGCCGCCGGCGCCGCGCAGCCCTTCTCGGCGCCGCAGCCGACGCACTCGGGTGCGTCGCAGACGAACTTGTTGCACCAGTCGGCACAATCCGGCGCCGGCGCCTGCTCCTCGGCGCACGCCGCGAGTCTCGGCTCTTCCCAGCAGTACCGCGGCTTGCCGTCGGGCACCACGCCCCACGGCCCGTTCTTGCCCTTGAAGCGGAGCCCCGTGCCGACGTAGAGCGTGTCGCAGCACTCCTCCGTATCGAACGAGACCGAGTAGATCGGCCGAGGCTCCGCCATCTCGATCTCGCAGTCCTCGTCGGGCGGGTACCCAGGCCCGCCATCGGCCGCCGGATCCGAGAGGCGTGGGCTCATCACGCAGCCGCCCACCGCCTCGCAGCGGCCGTGCAGCACGCGGAACGCAGGCGCCGAGTCGTTCGCCGCTGGCGAAAACGACGCGTTCGTCGCCGCCGCCCCGTCGAGCTCCGCCGGAAGCGCGTGGAGGACGATCGGCGTCGCGACCGCCCACGCCGCCAGCACCGCCGAGTTGACGAGCACCATTCGGAGGTGCACCGGCTTGTTGCGGCGGTAGTCGAACCGCGTGCCGAGGTTGGTGACGCGGCCGCACGCCACCGCCTCGAAGAGGTTGAACGCGGCGGTCATCATCGCCGCGGCGACGAGCTCAGCCTTGTAGCTGGCGGGCTTCGCCGGGTATTCGACGAAGAACATCGTCATCAATACGATGGCCACAAAGCAGCCGAACGAGGAGATCTGGTCGATCGCGACGAAGGCGATGGCGGTGCGGCAGCGCGGCGCGTCGACGTTCGACTCCTTGCAGATGAAGAGTACCGAGCCGACCAGGCCGAAGACCGAGCTGCTGAGGGAGGGACAGAACGACCCGATCAGTCCATTGCACAGCGCGCTGCGGTACCCATCTCCACAAATGTTGAGGACGTTGACGAGGTTGAGCAGTGCGACCAGCGCGCAGAGCGCGGTGAGCAGCAGCGCCGTCAGCGCCGGGTGCCAGCCCGGCCGAATGTCCTTTGCGGCGTCGGCGGGCGGCTGCTCGAGCTCGAGCGTCTCGATGTCGACCGCGACGGCCGGCTGCTGCTTGAGCTCGAAGGGTATTATGTTCGCGGCGTCGGCGTCGGGCGCGGCGTCGGCTGGCGATGCATCGGCGTCCTCTGCTGCCGCGCGCTCAGCGGCCAGCTTCGCCTCCGCCTCCGCCGCAATGGCTCGCCTCTGTTCCTTCAGCGTCGCCGCGTCCGCCGCCCGGCGCGCCTCGTCCGCCGCTCTCTCCGCCTCCAGCCTGCGTGCCGCCTGCTCGCGCTCTCGCGCCGCCGCCGCCGCCTCCCGCTCGCGCTGCTCGCGCCGCCCCTTGGCCTCGAGCGCCTTCTCGGCCGCCTTCTCCGCCGCCTCCGCCTCCCTCAGCGCCGCTGCGTGCTCTGTGAGAGCGCGCACGCACCCAGCGTGGTCCGTTTCGGGAGCACTGGCGGCGTTGGCAGTAGCTAGCACCTTGGCCGCTTGCTCCTTGGCGATCTGCAGCGCGGACCTGCCGTCTGCAGAGCGAGCCTTTGCATCTGCGCCAGCCCGAAGCAGGCGGAGCACGACGGCGGGGCAGCCGCTGTAGGCGGCGTTCATCAGCGGGGTGATGCCTTTGCTGCTCTGCAAGTTGACCTCTGCGCCGTGCCGAATCAGCACCTCGACCACCCTCTCGTGGCCGCTGTAGGCGGCGAGCATCAGGGCGGTGTTGCCGATGCTGCTCTTCAGACTGATCTCAGCACCGTGCCGTATCAGCACCTCAACCACCCTCTCGTGGCCGCTGTAGGCGGCGAGCATCAGCGCGGTGTCGTTGTTGCTGTTCTGCAGGTTGATCTCCGCGCCGTGCCGCAGCAGCAACTCGACCACCCGCTCGTGGCCTTTGTCGGCGGCGGTCATCAGCAGCGTGAGGCCGCTCACGCCGCCTCTCTCGTACGTCGCGTCGGCCCGCCCGCCGCCCTCGAGCCACGCCAGCAACGCCTTCTCCTCGCCTCGCTCAGCCGCTAGCACGGCCGCGTCGGAGCAGCTCAGGGACCCTGCGCAGCTGCTACGCGGGCGTGCCCCCGGGGGGCTGCCAAGCTCGGGAGCACCCACCATCGTCTGGGTTCGGCTCTTGGCTGTAGATCGGTCCTCGAGATATCCTTTCCGCGTTGGGTAGCGAGGCTTGGTGTGACGCGATCCACGCAGGCGTGTTTTCTGACGGCCGACCGTCAGTGCACGGAGTTGCCCCTTCTCCGACTGCCCCGGCTAGTTCACGAGGTCGTCGGGTGTGACCCCTGCGTCCCCCGTCCCCCGAGCGAGACCTAGCGCGGGTGGGTTGGAGGGGGCTCGCTGCAGGGAAGGGCTGTGTAAGAAGCCGATCCCCGTAGTCCGCCCCGCTCCTCCCCATCGGGCCGCGTGAGCGGCCACGCCTCGCAGATTCGTTTTCGCGTCTGGGTCAGGCGCGCGGGGCATCCCCCGGGTCGCTCGACCAGCGATCCGAAGAGTGGCCGCTATGCGAAGGAAAGAGTGGGGCCCTCGGGGTACGCCTCGTCCGGCCCCCTCCGAGGGGGGAAGGGAATTGCGGGGTCCCCACGGGCGCCTCAGTTCGGCCCTCCCGAGGGGGGGAGGGGAGCAAGGGGGTGGGGGGATCGGGGCGGGGGGGAGGGGTCTCGGTTTTGTGGGTCTAATACTTGCCTTTCGGGGAGGTCGCGCCAAGCGCAATTGAATGCTGCCTGACCTCTTCTCCTCCTCCCTCGAGGCAGCGAGTAGGCAGCGAGAGGAGGTCTCGAGCGCCTATATGAAGGTATGTGAGATGGTGTGATGGGAATGGGTGGTCGGGCGGGCGGGCGGGCGGGCGGGCGGGCAAGCGGGGAGCGGCGGGCGGGCGGGGCGGGGCGGGCGGGCGGGGTGATCGGGGGACTCGTGTCCACAATCAGCAGCAGCGGAGCAGCAGCAGCAGCAGCAGCTGCTGCAGCAGCCAGCAGCAGCCTGCCGCAGATTGCTGCCGTTGTCAGCGCCGCGATCCGCCGCCGCGCCGCCGCGCCGCCGCCGCCTGCGCTCGCCGCCGCCTCGTAGACGACTCCTCTCGCGCTCGGAGAGCCGCGCAGCGGGCCGCGAGGTTCTTGTGGTCAGAGAGCAGCAGGGTTGAGATCACAAAATCGGCCAAATTTGAGGTTGCTCGAGAGAGCCTGGAAATGGTCCCGCGCCGTAGCCCCGGAGCCGGCGCATCACGTCTCAGCCGCGAGGGGCCGGTTCTGCCGCGCAGTCGAGCAGCAGGAGCTCGGGGGCAACTTTGTCGACAAACATGGTGAGGAAAATTTCGGCGAAGAAGCGGCACTGGCGGCACGCCGGGACGAACCCGGACGCCGGTCATATTGTTCAGATCCACGGCGGCGAGCCGCCGCGAGCCCACCGGAGAGCTGGGAGCCGCGGCACTAGACCGCGCCGCCAGCGAGGCGAGAGCAGCAGCCGACGACCGGCGTGACATGGCAAGATTAGAACGGCGGGATTCCGAGCGTTCTCACTGACACATTTGGACGGACGGAAAAACACCCCCCTTTTGTGCCTGACCCTGGCCATGGCCTCTCTGGGGGTGAGCTGGGCCGGCCGCCTCCGGGTCCGCCACTCGCACGATGGGCTCGCGTCCGGGAGAGCATCCGAGACCCGCGGTTGTCCGCTCGCTGGGCGCGACCTACATGGAAATCCACTGCACACAGATCTGTGCTTTTGGCGCCTATTGCTCGCTCTCTGTGCAATCGCAACGCCAGAGGCCGTGCTTGGAGAGTGTGTCGCAGTGCTGCTACGTCAGTGGATTGAGCCGCGACGCAGGCTCCATCGGTGAGCTGCGGCGGCGCACCGGCCGCTCCATGCATGCTCTCCGGCGAGCCGTCGCAAACGCGTTTCCGTCCGCCCGTTTCATCGAGTCTGCCCGAGTGGTACGAGTAAAATGCAATCGAATCTGCCCGAGTGGTCAAGTAAAACTTTGCCTTTCGTAAAAGTTGCCCGAGTGGTCGAGTGGTCAAGTAAAACTTTGCCTCTCGAAAAAGTTGCCCGAGTGGTCGAGTGGTCAAGTAAAACTTTGCCTCTCGAAAAAGTTGCCCGAGTGGTCTGTGGGGAAAAAACGAAAATCGAGACGGACTTCTTGAACGGCCGGGCGCGTGTATTACGTCCACAAGTTGCTTTGACTCTCGAAATCTGCCCCCCCCCCCCCCCCCTCTTTCCCCCCCCGTCTCGCTGCACATATTGGACCGACCTCCCGACGCCCTGGAACAGGTGGAGGGCTGGCATACTCTGATGGAAGCAGGAAGCTTCCATTCCGGCGGTGGTTCGAATCCACACGAGCCGAAGGTGATGAGTTTGGGGCTTGAGGTCTGAAGCTCACCCAATGAGGAAGTGAGGTACTGCTCGGTCCGGCTCTGATCATGCTGAACAAGTTCCTCTTGTAGCTCGATCGGTCACACCGCCATCGCCGTCGGGGAGAGGGGGGACGACACTGCTTCGGCAGCGTGCACCTCGATCCTGCACCGTGTTTGTTATGACCCCCCCCAATGAACACACCAGTGAGGGAGGGCGAGACGATCGAGGGGTCCCGTACCATGCGGAATCGACCCTATCCAGTGCTCAAGTGCTCAAGCTCTCACTGCAGCGTGTGCAGGGGCACCGAGATGGTCCCCTGGGGGGCTCAGTTGAAGAGATCGGTGAGATCGGTCGCATGCGCCAAAGGAGACGCGACACACACCACACAGAACACTTACGGCGGGGCATGTGTTTCGGCATCAGACCAAAGGCCGGCCGATGTACAAAAGAAGAAGAACTTTTTCACGTATCGCAGCAATCCCACGCGTAACGCGCACGTGCGCGCGTGCGCGCAACCCGCCTAGCCCCAACGCTTGTCTCCAATAGCAGGCCCGCTCTCCGCGTCGTCCGCCTCCAGCAGCGGAGGGCACTGCGGGCTCGGGTTTGAGCTCGTGTCGCGTGTGGTTGCCTATTCGCCAAACAAGTAGGCTCGCTCCACTGGCCCATCTCGGGTTGGAGCCTGGTGCTGCGTGTGGTTGCGATCGAGAGCTCGCTCAGGCCGGCAGCTAGACCCGGGCTGCCGAGGCGGCCACTGGTGCGGCTGCACACGTCGCTGAGTCGCCTATTATTGTTGCGATGATTCCTTCTCCTGGAGTGGTCGGGTCAATCAGTACACCGCTCAGCCGCGTAAGCCGACGCCATCAGCACTGTGTTAGCTGCTCACCCTCTCGAGATTTGGGGAGATTTGGGGAGATATGGGGAGACATCCCGCATCTGGGCTATGCCGCCTCGGCAGCTGCGTCACGTGGCCTAAGGTATCAGGTAACGTCTCCCCTCACACAAGGTGGTACTGCAGGGCAAGGGCCAGGCGACCCTCGCGACTCCACGTCTAGACGTCAGGAGCCCCGCGGCATTTAAAGTGCAAGGCCCGGTGCGCGCGGGTGAGCGGTGTAAGTGTGCGTGCGTGCGTGTGTGTGCGTGCGTGCGTGTGTGCGTGCGTGTGTGCGTGTGCGTGTGCGTGCGTGCGTGCGTGTGTGCGTGTGCGTGTGCGCGTGATTGCGTGATGATGAGTGAGTGTGCGCCTCTCGAAGCTCTGCGCAGCAGCTCCACCCCTTGCGCGCTCGAGTGCCTAGAGACAGAGAGCGCGATCCCCATCAAGCAAGACTGAGGAGGAGGCGGAACAAGCTCGCCCCCCGCGTGTGTGTTCCGAGTACCGCTCGCAAGCGACCTGGGCGGGGTCAGTCAGCCAGCCAGTCTAGCACGGACGACGGGGCACACGCACTCGCGGAGCATTGCACACGAGGGCGGTGAACGCGTTCTCAGGGAGGAGAGGCATCACCACAGACACGAGGAGCCGTTATCACTCCATTCCGGAGCTATCTCATTGGGCAGTCACCTCTGGGCGAGGAAGCCGAGCGAGTCGTCGGTGCCGCTGCTCCACCTAAAGCACATCACCCACCAATAATAATAAGTGAAACTGCGAAACAGCGCGTCGTCCGCGCCGCTGCTCCGCCGAGAGGAGCCGCCCGACGACGGGTGCGAGGATCGCCGCTCGAGCTGCGCGTCGAGGGAGAGGCCGACGCTAGCCGACGGTGAGGAGGCGTCGGCAGCCGCTGGCGCATGAGAGCTGAGGGCGGCCCTGCCAGAGGCCATAGCCGAGGCTCGTCGGCCCTGGATAATCTCGTCACCGCCGCGCGCGAGGACAAGGGCGAGCATCTCCGCCTCGTCGCTCTCGCAGGCGAGGTGCAGCGGCGTCATCCGATACTTGTCGGGGACCCTGAGCTCGAGGCACGGCTGTTCACGAGAGAGCACCTCGGCCGCCTCCACGTGCCCGCTGGCGACCGCGACGTGAAGCGGCGTCTGCCCGTCCTCATCAACCTCGTCCAGCGGAGCGCCGGCCTCGACGAGTACCTCGAGGATCTCGACGTGGCGCTCCTCCGCCGCAATGTGCAGTAGGCCGGCCAGTGGGCTGCCGCTCGCAAGCGCCTCTCTCAAGCCTGCCACGTCGCCATTGCGTGCGAGCGCAGCGGCGGCTTGAGGCATGCTCACGGGAGGTGGTGAACCGTCCAAGGAGCTCAGAAAGTGTGTGTTGTGTTCGGTGGCGCCGCTGTTGGGCACTCAAACGCTCATACGAAAGGGCGCCGCCGTTGTGGGCATTCGCGAAAAGAAAAAAACATGCGGGATATCCTGGCGTCGAGCGACCCGGTGATGGCGGCGGACGGGCATGCGCATGAGCGGTCGGCGATCGAGCGCTGGCTCGCGACGCACCAAGTCGACGAGCCCGCTGACGGGCGGCGAGCTCGAGCACAGGTCAGCATCCTGGTCCCCAACCACATGCTGCGCCGTCAGATCCGGGACGGGGAGGGGGGGGGCGCGCAAGGCGGCAACTTGGCAAGGCAGCGTGACCATGCATTCACCAGGCATTCACCTGCACCAGCACCACCCTCGAGTTCCACTGAGGGAGGGTGTAGAGGATGTAGAGTGTAGAGCGCTGTAGAGCTGTAGAGATGTAGAGCGCTCCGGAGTGCTGTAGAGCTGTAGAGCTCTACATCCGCCGCGGGACGAAGCGGGTGCGTTGTAGAGCGATGTAGAGGCGCTCTACAACGTGAAATCTCTACAACAAACTCTACATCATAAGCGGCGAACGAGGCACGGTCGCTCTCCGACATCGAGCGACGCCGCGCCCTCGGCGCCCGACGCGAGCGTTCAACTCGAGACGGCTGAGGAGGAGGGAGAGGACGATGCGGTGGAAGTGGAGGTGGAGCAGGAGGAGGAGGAGGAGGAGGAGGAGGAGGAGGAGGAGGAGGAGGCGATGAGCGAGGACGACGTGGAGGAGGTGGCGCCGCCGCTTCAAAGCCCCGCCGCCGCCGCTCCTTCGCTCGCAGGCGGCGACGTGCAGATCTCCGCGGCATCAGGCGCTCCCAAGCCACCCCCGTCATGACTGCTGTCGGATGCACTCTCACTGGCTCCCTTGCTTGCACCGCACAGGCCTGCTGCCCGAGCACTTGCCGCACCAGCGGGCGCTCTGCCCTCTCCACCCCTTCCATGCGGCCGAGAGGCCGGTCGCGGCGCCGGCCGATGGCAACGAGGCGGCCTGCCCCAACTGCTACTGCTTCGCGTGCGACGCGCCCGTGTCCGAGTGCCGCCACTGGCGGGGCGGCGAGCCGAAGGCGCCGGCGCACTGCAACGCGCACGCCGGCAGCGCCGAGTGGCGCACGCAGCGCTCCAACGCCAAGCGGCAGCGCACGCGGGCGGCGCGAGCGGCGCGGGACCCGCTCGGGCTGGGCTGATAGAGTACTGTGTACGTTACTCTTACGGTACCTAGAATTCTTTTTGGGGGCGCGCCGCCAGGCACGTCCCCACTTTTGTATCACAGCTGCGAGGGCCAACCAAGGGATTCGGCGCGTCAAGTTAACTTGACCGCTCGTTCGGGCTTTGGGCCGCAGGCCGGCGCGCAGCGCCACGCCGCCAGGCGTCCGCCGGAGGCCCGCCGGAGGCTCTTCCTGCGGCCACATTCTGGCAAGATTCCGCCGC